CAAAAAACCGTTTTGAAAAAGCGCTCCACACCCTGAACGACCTCCCTTGTCAGAGGTGACAGCAGTAGACTTTTCGCTGCTACATTCATTTGCAAATTCCTTGCTAAAGCTTTCAGCCTCGCGGTCATTGCCGATATCGGCTAACCGGCTCAACACGTTATACGTGTGAGTGCTGAAAGCTATGGTAGTATACCATGAAAAGCTGAGTTGGGATGAAATGGTGCCCCGGTAGCGTAACTGGTAGCGCACTTGCCCGGAAAGCAAGAGGTGCGGGTTCGAGTCCCGCCTGGGGCGAAAGTTTTGTTCACAACCCAGCATTCTTGTGAAACATTCGCAAGGCGAACTGCGGCCAAAAACAGCAGTTAACAAACAAAAACAAGCCTGAAATATTGTTATATTTAAATTTACCTCCCTCTGCCGTTTTCGGAATAGCCGCATAGATATGCCAGCCGATGACCGTCACGCTCAAATTTCAGTCGCTGTGAAGTCGCATCGTCATTGCCAGGAAACCACACCTACTCCAACAACTTGGCCATAATTACGAGGAATTGCAAAATATGGCCTCGAATTGTAATCAGTTATCTAATGGAAAATGCAACAAACTTCATAATCAATGCCAGGAATTCGCTCCCAGTAAGTGGTGAAAGTAGTTCGTCCTTTCTCCTCTTGTCCACAAATCTGCGTCAATACGAGCTCTCTCTTCTTGTTCTCTCTATGGTAAAAGGATTAAATTATTAGCTTCACAAGAAGATATTTTTTGTTCTTGAGTATGGAAATTTTTCAAAGTAGTTGTGCTCCCGGCAAGGATGATCGGTTCGGACACATTTCGAGAGCTTATTCAGTTCAAACTATTCGAATACTTGAAAAGATCGGAAATCATTTGAACAAACATGAAGCAGTTCACTCATCGAAGCGATCTCAGAATTCACACTTCTTGCACATTGTTTTAGGAAGAGAACAATTTGGCCTTCAGCTGACGAAGGTACCCATGGTGTTTTACGCGTACAGAAAAAATCGGCCATCCACCTCCATATGTGCAACCCCTACTCCTTTGTCCTCTAACTCATTATCACTCTTCTCCCACCTCCTCGCCTTCCAATGCATCCGGAGGGTTGTGCTGATTTCAATTTGCACATTCTTTTATGAGGTATCGGCGCGACCTCCCATCCAGGGTCAACCGTCACGTTGGACCGATTTCAAAATTTTTACGACCCCCCCCTCTTGGAGAGTCTCCATACGACCCCCCCCCGCACTTCATTATGTACTGTACACTGCTAAGGAAAAGCTAACACTAGGGGAAATAAGTGCAATCTACAAAAATCTAAAGACACTTGGCTTGAATTCAAACACAGTTAGCAGAGCGACTCTAGGGTGCTAACTTAGTTGGGGGGGGGGCACGCGGCGGCGCGGCAGTCTGCTCGCCTGGCATGTTCGGAAATCCGTGGGCCAGGGGGAGTGTAGGCAGTCTAGGGGGGTGGGGGTGGGGGCAGTCACTTGACATGCGTGAAAAGCTGGAATGTTCGAGTTTACACTGTCTCGCTCGAGAGAGCCCAGGTGAGCAGACTGCCGCGCCGCCGCGTGCCCCCCCCCCCAACTAAGTTAGCACCTCTAGTTTCCTGATATCCTGTAATTTACTAATGCACAACATCGCAAAACGAACTGCCTTCATTAGTTGCTAGACAGTACTGCCCTTTAGTTCGAATGGCGCTTTGCCTGCTGCCTTTCATGAATGGGCGTTCAAAATCACAAAAAATTTCCATTTCGATATGCAAGCGCATATCAAACGAGTGCATGGCGCATCTCAGAGCATGAGAGTATACAGCAGAAGTGTCCGATTGGAGCACGGGAGCGTTGCGTTCGCATTGGCGCGCGCAATCTTCCCCTCGGCGCAGCGCGGGCAGCGAGAAACAGACTATTGACTTTCAAATAAGCGTAATTTTGTTCAATATCAATATTTTTCAAAACGCTAAGTAGATTTGTCATCTACAAAACTGCTTGTTTCAGAAGGTAACCACGATTATGCCTTATCTTCAAAACTACGTCAGTTATGAGGTAGAGAACAAAGAATTCACAGAAATGTGGGCACTATTCAACTATTCCGACCCCAAAAACTCAAAATTTTATTTTTCGTCGAAACTTCGCCTATAGGGGTAATTCGGTGCCCTGATCACGAAAATGAGGTTCATTTTTGGCGCTGGCGCCATTTGGCGCCAATTTGGCGCCAAGGGTGTTTTCACCAAATTCGCTGTAAACTTGCACATAGGGGTTATTTAGGGTCCTGATTACGGATATGTCATTCGTTTTTAGCATTTCCACCGTTCAACGCACATTTTCCATTCTCCTGGGTCCTCTCACTTGTACATTATACCTAGGACTGAGCCTAGAAGGAGGGAGGACTTCGGAGTGGGGGTGACAGTCAACATGTGGCAAACGTTAAAGCGTATAAGATCACAGGATAAGTGTTATTCACTTCGGAGCACTCTCCTCCTCAAAGGCTTAGTCCCGATCGCGAGGTGATCAGTGAGAGGGCGCAGACGAGCGGAAAACAGGCGCGCACAGGCGCTGGAGGGAAAAATGAATGTTATATTCGTGATCAGGACCCCAAATAACCCCTATGTGCAAGTTTACAGCGAATTTGGTGAAAACACCCTTGGCGCCAAATTGGCGCCAATTGGCGCCAAATGGCGCCAGCGCCAAAAATGAACCTCATTTTCGTGATCAGGGCACCGAATTACCCCTATAGCGAAGTTTCGACGAAAAATAAAATTTTGAGTTTTTGGGGTCGTAATAGTTGAATAGTGCCGAAATGTGCACTTTAGGCTGCTTTCATAGTTCGCATCGGTGCGGTCGGTGCCGACGGTGCCGACGGCGCCGACCGCACCGACAGTGTGAAGAGCGTCAATACGCGCTCTGGCGCATGACGCGTACGTTGGGCGCAGATGGCGCGCTCCGATCGATAATCTTGGTTTGGTGTACTTCTTGTCTTCAGTCTTCCTTTTATAAGTGTGTTTTCTGTTCATACTTATTCTTTTGTCTTGATTAATTCTTCAGTTGTTCCACGGACGAATGACGTCGTACAACCCCGTGTGAACGTGGCTACTGTGGCACGCTTACGACGTGCGCGGTCCGGGATCAAATCCTGGGTCGTGAGTCGCCCGGGCCAACCAAGCCTTCCATCCCTCCGGGGTCGGTTAATTGGTACCAGACTTGTACCAGACTTCTGGGAGGATAAAAAACACTGACTTGAACATCGGCTGGCCCCCGCAAGTCATTGTATAGGCCACATCGCATTCAAACGCCACTACGAATGTACAAATGGAAGTAGAATGCGTGCCGCATCCCAAAAAGGGATTGATCAACGGCAAAATTATTATATCAGTTAACAACTTGGCTACCGAGCATAATTATTCGTTACAGAGGTAATCAAATGTGACCGGAAAGAACTAAACTCACTTCACGGCGATTTTGAGCTCATCGTACGTCATTGGGCTGGGTTTGATGAAAACCGGCCCTCTATACTTGTGCATGATTGCGTAATATACGACATGACGTTGACGAACAAAATAACCCATCGAAATCAATCGGCCACCGAATTTCAGCGAAATGGAGAGCACATTATCAACGAGGGATTCGTTACCTCAATAAGAAGTAATTACTAGGGTTCAATTCAGTAAGTGAGCCTCCTGTAATAGAATGTGAAATAGGGGTAAAGACGAGCGCGGTGATATGGAAGCGTGCTCGAGGACCTAGGCTCATTAACACATAACGTACGGCACCATTCCATTCTACGATTCACATCGCCACGAATAGCAGGAATCGTATGGGCTTACGCGAAAAGCGGAACTAAGGCATGTTCCCCCTATTGAAAAATGAAAAGATTTCGGTTGACGGCAACCAAGTAGCTCGCCTTGTTGCTCTAACTCTATGATGCGAGAGAAGAAGGAGAGGCCTCGCGATGTGTGGACCATAGGTAATCGCTGTTCAGATGGAAAAAGTCGGAATGTGCAAGGTAGCGGTAACTAAGTTGAAGCAGGTGCGAGAAGCTGTACATCCTGTAGACGCTGAATGACATTTAACACTTGATACGAACAAGCCGTGCATGGTAGAAAGCGTGGTACAACCAGAAGGGAGTCGCAAACGGGGGCAAGAAAAGTCCATATACCTTTTTTTGTCCAATCCAAACCTCAATTTTCAGAGTGACGCACGAATAGATGGAGCTATGTTTAGAGTCTTATACACTGCGTCCCATAATTATAACTCCACCCAAGAATTTCCCAAAATCTCACAAATTTAGATGTTTTAGAAAAAGTCTCTAATGTGGCAGTGTGTCAAATACAAATACGAAATTCCTTATAACATCATCTTCCAACTTGAGATCCCAGGAATTTTTTCTAATAATTTTTGTTCAAAAGGCCACTTGGCCAACGTCCCAAAATTATAACTCCACCTCATGTTTTTCTATTATTTTTCACTTCCGTTTCGCCAAACTTTTTTATTGTGCTAACATCCTACTTCTCAAGGGGACAGTATGATAGAAAATGCTGTCTGACTTTTTAAAAGGTCAGGTCGTCGCAAAAACTACTAATTAAGCAAT